CCCCATAGTTTCTATGGGGGGGGTGGTTATCCTGTAGGAAGGGGCGGGGGGGGGGGCCCCAACATTTTCGGAAGGGTGAGCGCAGATGGAGGGAGGGGCCTAAAAATCTTTTTTTTTTTCGTTGTTCAAGGACACATGTATATTTCCCCCTATATATATGGTTTTTGGTGGTTCGGGCAGGGCACAAAAAAAAATATCCCCTCTCCTCTAAAAAAAAAAATACCCCCCCCCCCCCCCCCCCCCCCCCCCAAATCCCCAACAATGACCTAAACCTAATCCATTACTAATTCCTTATTTTGTTCAACCTTCAAAAAAAAGAAAGGAAAAAAATTAAATTTGAAACTGGTTATATTCGACATCAAGATGTCGAAAACCTATGCTTCAAATCGACATTTTAAGCATCGAACAAAAAGAATAGAAATCAACATCAATGATATGTTGAATTTTGCGAGCACAAATCGACATTACAATGCCGGATTTGTAGCACCACATTCGACATATCCAAATGCCGAATTTTGTGCTACAAATTCGACATTGTAATGTCGATTTTCACCAATGAAATTCGACTTTTTTTTCGGAAGCAATATCCTAGCTAAAAAACATATAAATACGGGTTTTTTCCACCGTAGAATCTTCCATTTTCAAAGTCTTCTCGCTCCATACTTGCCATCTTAGTAAGGTTTGTTGAGTTTTGAGGGTGTTGAATGTTTAGGTTTTGTGGGTTTATGGATGAGGAAGAAGAAAGGTTTTGGTGGGTTTGGAAGATGGAGAAGATGAGAGTTTGGTCTTGTGATTTTATAATAGAGTTTTTGTAGTTTTTGTGTTTTTAATATTGCATCATTTTGATTTTTCTATTTTTTTAACAAGTAAGAATATTATAATATTTATACATTAAAAAAATTAATTTGGTCTAACACTTATTGAAATTAATTTTTTTTTTTTAAATTTGTAACTATTTCTTCTAATTGTTGGTTTGAGATCTTCGGCTAGTGAACTTATTTCACTACTGCAACTTTACAATTTTGGCTTCACCTCGAAATGTGGAACATTTTTTTCTTTTCGAGATTGACTCATTAAATATGCTAAGAGCTCGAGCATACGATCAATTTTCAGCTCGACTATTTTTTTCTAAAACCGGAGCATATGCGCAAGTTCGAGTCCTTACTCGTTGTGCCACCACTCGAACCTAAAATCATTTCTTTCAAATATAATTATTTTAAACCCATGTTCTTTAGTGATTCGAAAAGCCTACTTCAAAATATCATTTTTTATACTTTCCTTCTACAATCATAAACACGTGGTGATATATAGTCATATATAAGCTCCGTAGTTTTTTTTTTCTTCTAATGTATAGTAATTTTGATGATTGTTTTATTTGAAAAATTTATACATGTGATTTTTTTATTTAGGGTAAATTACAAACACCCCCTGAGGTATGGTCAAATTACGAAAAACACCCCTCTTGTTAGGTAATTTGAGGGGTTTGTAATTTGACCATACCTCAGGGGGTGTTTGTAATTTACCCTTTGATTTATACTGTGGGATACAAGTTGTAACAACAAGATTGAAATTGATATTTTTTTATTTAGGTGTGGATTGAGGTTTTTGTACACAATACATGATATTCGTTTTGTTAGATAACTGGTATAAATGATTCTACTACACTATATACGAGAATACTATTTTAGGTTAAAATTGTAAAAAAAACAAAACCGATAAATATAAAGAAAGAAGGGTAAATAGCATTTAACCTCCATGTGGTTTCACCATGTCGTAAATAGCATTTAACCCCCTTGTCATTTTTGTGACTTCTCTATGAAGTGGTTGAAGGGTTTTTCCTATTATGAAAATTGAAACTGAAAGAGGAATTTGATAGAATTGCTGATGCTTGAAGGGTTTTTCCCATTATGAAAATTGAAACTGAAAGAGGAATTTGATAGAATTGCTGATGCAGATGAATTTGATAGATGCAGATCACAAAGTTACTAATGCAAATAGGCGTGATTTATGTAATTGATGTTAGAATGCAAACTACGCGAGATATTGATGCTGCTCAAATGTGGATTGGGCAACCCAAAAGTCTTTGACCTCGCAATAATAGAGAATGTCGAGAGGGACATTGCGACGTGTCTCGAGGTAATCGATTGATCCACTCGTTAATCCTACAAAACAATTTAAAATACTAGATGACACACTAGGATTGGCCCAGCGATTATCCTCTGACGCTCAAGTCAGAAACTATAATAATATATGAGTCAATAATAATGATAAATTATCAAATTATTGTGTACCTTGTTATGTGAATTGAAACACATATTTATAGGTGGATGAGTACATAGAACTTTTGTAAAAAATCAATGTGGGATAATGAGGTGTTGTTTATAAGTAAAAGGTGTTGATTGGGTCTTCATATTAACTTGGGCCTTTTGGGCCTAATCTCAATCAGGCACATCATTAAGCCCCCACTCCCAAGTTCGATCACGGTCCCGTGGGCGTACTTGAGAGTAATATATAAATACCAACCTGTACTTGTATGGTTTTTCCTTCTTTTTGAAATCTCTTTTTCGGGAATTGTGCAAGCGAGATTCAAAGATATTTATTATGTTCCGGTCCAAAGGTCCTTTTCTTCTGATTAATTGGCCTGAGGTTCGGGTTGACGTCGAGCCGATGGATAGCTTTAGGCGGGGGAATGGATACCTTCGAGCTTCCGCCTTCCAGGCATAAACATCACTTTTTTTTTCGGAAGAAACCTATGAGCTCCGCTTCCGCCACAGACCAAGGCTTGTTCCCACTCGGAGCAGCTTGTCTTGATTGTCCTGGACCAATTCTATGCTTTTCAACTTTTCTGCGAGTCTCATGCTATCGGTCGCTGATCGGTCGAAGAACTGATGAGCTCATTTTCGACAGCCATCATCCATTTTCTCTTTAGAAGATTAGGGGTGTCATCCCCTCCCCCCACTTGCTTCTTGTTCTGAAGTTGAGGTGTCTTCAAGGTATTCGCATAACATTCCCGAGCTACGCATTGGTCACCTATGGCTTCTCCGATTCCACTAGCCGTAGAAAATTTCAACTTCATATGATATGTTGAGGGGATTGCTCTGAAGAGCTTCAAACTTGATCTCCCTAAAATGACGTTACATGTAGATGGTGCCTTGACGACCAAGAAGTTAACGGAATTTGTTGTCGGGAATGTGAATGATCCCAAAGACAAGATGAGCGAAATTTCTCCTACAACTTCGACGACGTGTCCTGTAAAACCAACTAGAGGCATTTGCACGGGTGTGAGTTTAGCATTGGCTATCCCTAGTTTTTCAAAAGCTGTAACGTCCACCGAACTACCGCCGTCTACTAAAATTTGCATTTCCAGGTACTTGGAAATTGATGCAGAAATGACCAACGCATCATTATATTCACTACGTGGCCCCTAGAGGTCAACATCGTTAAAGGCTATCTCCAAGCTTGGGTGGTGAACATGGTAAACATGTCCCGCTGGACGTTCTGGCGTAGAGTAGGATCCTCGTGATGCCTGCATTGATGCGCGACAGGCGCTGGGGTGTCACCACTCGATGGTATTCCAGAAATGACCGCAGTTACTCCTTGAGTCGGAAGATTATCGGCCACAATCTTTCCGAGGATTGGGACACTCTTCTTTATGTTGAAAATGTGGTTTACCTTTGAATTTCGGGTGTCGTGGTGTATCCACAAATTCACTAAGGTGTCCCCTTCTTAATCAGTCTTTCAATTCTTGCTTGAGTTGGAAGCATTCGTCGGTAGTGTGGCCCCGGTCTCGGTGGTACTCACAATATTTCTCCGATTTTTTTCCTTTTTGGATTTTCTTTCATGTATCGTGGAGGTTTGACCTAACCTTTCTCTTCTGCATACTTCCATGAGTTTTGATTTTAGGGGAGTGAACTTTGGATATGTAGGGGCGTGGTTCGAGCATCCTTCTTCTCTCCTTTTTGCCTCGTGGTGCTCTTCTTCGCGTTTCCTCTTGACGGGGAGCCCCATCTCTACGGCTTCCTCTATCCGGATATATTTCTCGGCGTGGTTTAGAAGTTCCTCCAAGGTTTGTGGAGGTCGGCCCGCAATGAACTCTCAGAAGCGAACATGCTTTAAATCGTGTTGCAGTATGTCGGCTAACAGGTCGTGGTTAATATTAGGCACCTCGTGCACAGCTTTGACGAACCGTTGCACATAATGTCTGAGCGGTTCTCCTTCGCGTTGTTTGAGTCTAAAGAGTTATGATCCAGTCTTGGCGTATTTCTTGTCGATGGAGTACTAGCTAAGGAAATGTTCTAATAGCTGGTTCAGGCCGTCTAGGGATCCTCTAGGCAGGCCGTTGAACCAAGTTTGTGTCTGGTTAGTCAGCATAGTTTGGAAAAGTTTGCACAAGGCGGCGTCGGTGAGGCCATAGAGATCGATATTGGCAAAGAAATTGTGTAAGTGACTTTGGGGATCTCCGGTTCCATCGAACTGGGGTGGATTAGGGATCCTAACTTCGAGTGGTAAAACTTCTTCCATAATGGCCGAAATTAAGGGGCTTATTTGGGCGGCGAACGCTCCAAAGCGAGCGGCCGTTGACCTCAAAGTTTCTCGTCAATGGCTCCTTGAGTTATGGTCATCCAAGTCCTAGCGACGCCTTCTCGTCTCAACAGGTTGGGAATATCTACTCCTAGGTTCGTTTCAAAGGGAGTTGCCATGGCGAGAGGAACGTTTGCGGTATCTATATTCTCTGGACTCGTGGAGTTGTGGAACACCCGGCCGAGAAGAACCATTTCTCTCTCGACGGCTACACGCCACCCTCCCCCTAGCTTGAAGGAGCCCTTTTCCTCAGGGGGCGCGGTGATTGACCATGCACTTCCTTTCACGGGGCCTGGTCCGAGGATCACATGCGTTGAGGCAACCCGCATTGAGCGTACCTTTGGGGAGCAAATTCTGAAGAAAGGCTCTGGTCGTTGAGTGACACTCTCTCCTCGGAGTCGTGGAGCTCCACGATAGGTGGGGTCGCATGGACGTGAGTGAAATCCGTAGGGTCGCCCCTTGACGGAGTCGGCTCTTAAAAATTGCTAACACCTTGAGCATTGATGTATTTAGCTACCGCCTTTGCCGCCTCCCAAGTCGCTTCTTTGGCCGCAGTCTTATCCATCATGGCTTGCAATTCCTCCGCCGTCATCTGAATGATCGGCGCTGAGGATCTCCCATGGTTGGTCGCTCCCGTCGTTCTCTTTCTTTGAGGCGGATCCGGATCCCGCCGACTCCTTGATGGGGCGGACTGAGATTGCTTTGACCACCTCCTTCCGTGTCACGTGATCGAATGTGCATTCCCACAGACGACGCCAAAATGATGTTGCTCAAATGTGAATTGAGCAACCTAAGAGTCTTTGAGCTCGCAATGATATAGAACGCCGAGATTCACTGCCACGTGTCTCGATGTAATCTATGGATCCACTCGTTAATCCTACAAAATAGTTGAATACACTGGATGAAACGTGGGAATTGGTCCGTCGATTATCATGCGACGCTCAAGTAAGAAACTATAATAATATAAGTCAATAATAATGATTAATTGCCAAATTAGCATGTACATGTTATGTGAATTAAAACACATATTTATAGATGGATGAGTAAGTACAACTTTTGTTAAAAACCAATGTGGAACAATGAGTTATGGTTTATAAGTAAAGGGGCAATTTGCTATAGGTCCTCTTATAAGAGATTATATGTGTTAAAATCCATCTATTAAATTCTAATTTCCAGCAAATATTTTTATTTATAATTTGTCAAAAGTACCCCTATCAATATACGGTAAAATAAATCTTCAAAATCAAATCCCCTATTTTTCTCCCTTTTATACTGCAAATCCGAAAATTAGAATTGCAAAAATCAGGAAATCGATTTCTTCCCTGTTTCTTCGAAGCCAAAATCTCTCCACAAATTCTGAAGCCTTCCATAGGTTTGGATGTCTGAGCGTTTGCAGTTTTACCAGGTCGTTTGTATTTTGCCTTCGTTCGAATTGTTGTTACCCTATTTGCCTTCGTTTGGTTTGTTGTTTACAAATTGTTTGTTGTTCGGAAACAACGGCTGGTGTTTAGGGTTTGTTGTTTGAGCGTGTGAGTGTCTGAGCGTTTGCAGTTTTACCAGGTCTGAGCATTTTTCCTTCATTCCGTTTGCCTTCGTTCGATTTGTTGTTTCCCAATTTGCCTTCGTTCCGTTTGTTGTTTACAAATTGTTTTTTTTTTCGGAATCAACGGCTGGTGTTTAGGGTTTGTTGTTTGGAGTTCGTACGATGGCCAAAACACGATTAAGTCTTGGTAAGCAATGATCCTTTCTGTAAAATTTTATTTGCATGTTGGGTTTTTAATTTTGATTTTTTTTCTTTCATTATTAATTTTGTATTTTGTTCCTATTTTGATTTTGCATTTTGTTGTTTGCTATGTATTTCAAATATTTCAATAATAATTTGAGAACCCATTTTTTTCCCCTTAACATCAAAGGAGGATGATGATTTCCAATCCCCGAAATCAGGTAAAAAAATTGAAGGGTTTGTTTATGTTACAACTTTGGTTATGTTTATTCTAAAACAAAACGTGAACTATTTGCTGTTTGCACATTTTACAATTTGTTATTTGCACATTTTATTTTTCATTTGGGTAATCAGTTAACTAAGTTGGATGTTTTGAGTTAGGTGTTTGCAATTTGTTATTAACTGTGGTTTGCACTTTAGACATGAATATTTGTCTTTTGTTATTTAAGTTTAGTGTGTCTATTGTGATGTTTACATTTTATATTTGTGGTACTTATCATGTTGGTTTTTTGCAATATGTTTTTGTATTTTGGTGTTTGCAGTCTGTTATACAATGTTTGTACATTTAAATTGTAGTTAACATTTGCATACTGTATATTTGTACGTACATTTAGATATTTTCTCATATTTTGCACGTTGATTTATTTTTGATTCGAAATGCTTGGTTATTATGGCATTGATTCGAAATGGTTGGTTATTATGGCATAAGCAGATAATGGACTCTTGTGCGTACCTTTTGGTGAAACAACAAGATGAAGAGCATTTTGCAAGCGGCGTAGACCCCACACGTATGGGGAATAGTCTGATATTCCCCAGCTTGCTTCTGGTATATATAATCTAATCTTTTTTATAAGTCTTAAACACAAAATTGGTAATGTAAGTAATATCTTATGTTTTTTCAGGGAGTTATACGAAAAATATGAAACCAACTCAAATGGTACAACACTTCATGACGGGAAAGGATGTGACCAATTTCCGTTACTTACTTTTCCCGTTAAACTCAGGTGAAGGTCCCATGAACATAATACCCCACTGGACTTTACTTGTTTATGATAGGATTAACTGCTCGTGGGAGCATTTCAACTCCTCATTTCCTAGAAGATTGGACGGAAAAGAAGATCCATTCTTGGTTGATGCCAAATAAATGAAGAGTTTCATGCAGATTGCAAATGGGAAGATGAAATTTGGTATTAAGTCAGAGGCCAAATTAGTTTCCGTTTTGACATCACCACAACAAAAGCTTGATTCAGTTGACTGCGGGATGTTCGTCCTTTATATCGCACGACAATTTTGTCGCCAACAACCCTTAGACATTAAAGATGCACAAAATGGGGTATGCGCATTATGAAGTGACTTTGTTCATCAATTCTTAAACGATGAAGACACTGTGAACTTAGATTAGCGCATAATGATCAGATTTTAGAAACTACCTTGAACTCTTGTTATTTTGGATATTTAGTTTGGTTGAATTTTGATACAATTATAATTTTGCAGTTGGTTGAACATCCTTGTATTATCCTATTATTTGACGTACTCTACTAATTGTTGCTATTTTGGTACCTGAACTTAGTTGACGTACTTTTCCCCTTGTTTATGTTACTTTTTTTATGTTTGCAATTTCAATTTTCGCTAATTACTAAGTAGGACAGTTTAAAAAAATAAGACAATTACTAGTTTTACACGTTTGCTCCTTAAAGTATAATATTATGCGCTGTGTTTTACACATATTGTTTGCTAACTAGTGCAACGAGCGATGTAATGAACCAAACAAAGTCGGCAGTTTCACTAAAAGTTTATAGTTTGTTATTTGTTTTTTGTTGTTTGATGTTTACAACATAAAAGATGGAGGTATGTATTTGTTGAATAACTTCGTGTTTGTTGTCTGTAGCAAATTTACCATTTGCTAAATGGTAAAACATGAACATAAGCTAATCAAAACATGAACATAAGCTAATCAAAATTTACCATTTGCTAAATTGTTCATTTCATTATAAATGGTAAAACATCAACATAAGCTAATAAAAAATAAACAAAAAAAAAATTCAAAAATAGAAGCTTGAAAATGATAGCACAAGTTCTTAAATAAAACATAAAAAGCATAACCAAAAAGCATCACCCCTAAAGAATACATCGGATTTGTACAAGACTTTTTGTTGTGTTTACCGAGTTCTTTACATCTTCCGCATCTTATTTTCCTCTTTATCTTCTCGCCAATAGACGGTATCCTCTTCTTCTTTGGTCTACCACGACGTGTTTTAAATTCAGGAGGGCAAACACAATACATCATACCTGAACACCAATTTTGTGGAGAACGATAAACTGCAAACAATATTGAACGAATATTAAGTTGTAAAAACGACAATTAATAAATCGAAAATTCAAAACAACAAACATCAATTGACAACCATTTGCGTATAATTCAATTTCATGTTGATTGCATCCGACACTTTCTTCATCGATACCAATACATCATACCTGAACACCAATTTTATGGAGAACAATAAACTGCAAACAATATTGAACAAAAATTAAGTTGTAAAAACGACAATTAATAAATCAAAAATTCAAAACAACAAACATCAATTGACAACCCTTTGCGTATAATTCAATTTCATGTTGATTGCATTCGACACTTTCTTCACCGATACCAATACATCATACCTGAACACCAATTTTGTGGAGAACGATAAACTGCAAACAATATTGAACGAAAATTAAGTTGTAAAAACGACGATTAATAAATCGAAAATTCAAAACAACAAACATCAATTGACAAACCTTTGCGTATAATTCACTTTCATGTTGATTGCAGGCCAAAAAAAAGGATTCACTAATTATCAACACCGACTCTCGCGTTTAATTATAATACGATCGTATTGGTCTCTCGAACTCTTCATGATGATCTCATATTTCACTTGAATCGACTAAGATCTGTTTTCCAAGCGTCTTACACGATACTCTGCCTTCAATCGTGATTAGTGGGATTTGATTTCCCAACTTTACGTAAATAACTGAATCGCCTAAAATATGTTTATTCAATAAGGGTACTTATGTCTATATATTCTTTTTATTATTTAATTTATATTATTTTTTTTATGTGAAAGGACCTAGGCCTATATTCATCTAGCAACTAGGACTTCTACCTATATAAGTACAAAATAAGGGGTGTCTAGCAAATTTCCCCATAAGTAAAATGTGTTCATTGGATCTTCATAATCAGTTAGATTAACTTGGGCCTTTTGGACCTAATCCAAATTAGGCAAATCAGATATCATTAATGACATTCATAGGGATTACTAGGAAATACCATATGAAATTGTATTAGTAAACATGATGGCATTCCTCTAAAAAAAATAATAATAAATAAATAACTTAAAAAGCTGGCCTTCAATACCGAATTTTCTGATGAGAGATCATTTACTATGAATTATGATGAAAAATCTGCAAACAAGTATGTGGTCCAGTTCTATTTTTTCAGCTTTGTTATAATTATAATTAATGATCTTTTATGTTATCATGATACTTTTTAATTTCTCTCCTACTTCTCTTCATTATAAATACCCCGAAACCCGAATCGAATATTCACAAAGCAAATCAGTATCTCCTTCCAATATACAATTGCTAAGAGTATATCGACATTAGTCGAAGTATCTATACATGGCTGCAGTTTCTCGATCACCATTGTCGCTTAATAAGGTTGGTTGTGCATTACTGATGATGATTTGCTTCTTGGTAATTATAATTACATGTCCGGCTGAGGTAGAATCAGCCGCAATCACGTGCAGCGCAGTTGTGACGAGGATCACTTCGTGCATCGGTTATGTCCAGAGAGGCGGTGCAGTGACACCTGCTTGTTGCGACAGTCTGAAATTACTGAACGACGAAGCCAAAACAACGGCTGATTTACAAGCCGCATGCAGATGCCTCACAGCGCTTATACCTAGCGTTTCGCCTAACCCTAGTTTGGTTAACAGCCTTCCAGATAAATGCGGCATCCCTTTTCCGTACAGATACACCCCATCGCTCGACTGTTCAACGTGAGTACATTAGTCGATCAACCGTATAACAAGATCAACATTTCTCTTTCATACATATATATTTGTAAGCAAGAAATTAATGCATGGATTATGTTTTGTGGCTTTGATTTATTGCTGCAGGTTAACACGTTGATTAGTTGACGAGACTTGCAAGAAGAGAATATATTTGTGACGTGCGTGCTTATAAATAAAAGAGTGAATAAATATATACAATAAGATGTATATATGTATTTACTATCTCTATCTAATCTCGTGCTTGTAATAAATAAAAGTATGTGCCTGTTGATGTTGCTGTGCTAATTACGTCCTTGTGAAAAAAAAAAATACTACAAAATACGCCCCTATGTTTTACGTCAGTGAAAAATACAGTAAACAATATACAGACAATCCTGGGGTAAACAGCATAAAACCCCCCGTGTTAAGGAAAATCAGCGCCAAATCTCCCTGTGTATGTTTTAATTATGAAATTTTATGGTAGTCTAGATAATACTTTTATCTTCATTTTGATATAAATCATGCATAAATATGATTTATATTGAGTGAGTTATGGATTGCTTTCTGAATCTGCACAGTTTTTGAGTCATTCATGGATTATGTGTTTAATACGACTTAAAACTAATCTAATTTATATGATTCCACTTGGATATGATTGTATTTGATCTACGATATAAGAGATATGATTTTTCTAAGTTAAAGAACCAAAAACGTCAGATTCTTCTAAAATAAATTATTTGAATGAAAAGAGATGTTTGAAAGAATAGTCTAAATCTTTGAGGCTAAACTCAATAAGACGAATTGAACATAGATCAAGTTACAAAGAAGATTAAGACGAATTGAACATAGAATAAAAATATTGTATTTGTATGTGGTGATATGTGCTCTTACGTACATGATCGAATGTCTTGATCTAGAGGAATAAATTGAATATAGATGACATAGAAGCTTTAGGCTTATCCCTACACGAAAGAACATAGAGACAAGTACTTTAGGGCACTTATAGGACGTGAGTGACACGTTAAGAGAGGCGCGAGTATCGTCGGGCCAAAGTTATTAATGAGCCACTGGTTGGGCTCACGCTTTATGAAAATTCACTTTTTCAGGTTCTCGAAGTAATCAGAGTGCGCATCGAAGCAAAGTTCGAGGAATCACGAACCTTAATGCCTAGCATGCCTTATCCGGAAGTTTATATTTTCACTTTCGCTTTTGAAAAGGTCTTATACAAAAATAGAAATTTTCATGATTTTAATTTTTACTCTGATTTAGGAATCTAGTCTATACTTTCTATAAAAGTGTGAATGATATGAATGTTTCTACCATTTTTTGTATGGACAAAAATATCCTTTGGGTATGGAAAATTTGAAGGACAATTAAGTACTATGCTAATAATAATAGCAATTAATTAATACTTATACAAATATTTTCACACATCTTCTTCATCTTTTTCTAAATTTATTATTATTCTTTTCCATGGTAAATAAACGACCTTTCATTTTTATGTACAAGGTAACACATTTAATAGTTTTGACGGACAACTAAGAGGGTGTTTGGCTAAGCTTATTTTAAACAGCTGATAAGTTCTTACGTCTGATAAGATGTTTTTAGAGCTGATAAGTTGTGACATCTTATTTTTAGGATTAATTTTTAGAGTGTTTGGATAATGAGCTTATTTCCTATTTTTACTCATTATAAGATGTTAAATAAAAAGGTGGGGTAGAGGTACTTATTTAAAAATATCTTATTTGGTCTCCAACAAATTATTTAAAAAAAATAAAGATCTTTTTTTAAAAAAATACCAAACACCTTGGAAGAGCTTATAAGCTCTAAAACATCTTATAAGCTTCTTTTAACATCTTATAAGTTTAGCCAAACACCCTCTAAGAATGAAGTAAAATTTATTCATAGTTATTAATTAGTACGCCATACTTAAATAAGATAATTAAAACAAAAGAACAGTTTTTACGTTTACAGTTTTCACATCTTCCTGATCTTTTTTTTTCCTTTTATTCTTTCCTTGGTAAATGACCTTTTTGTTGGCACGAGATTTCTATTTGTGAAGATTGAAGAAATCCGCCATACGTGGAAATTAAAGATTGGCAAAGATTTGTTTTCCATGTTTATTTTGGAATTAATTAGAGTCCTATTTTTGTAATATTGTTATTAGGACTTAGATTTATTTCCATGTATTATATTCTAGTTAGGTATCTTTTGTACTTATCTAGAATAGAAGTAGAAATCGACTAGGATTCTATTACCTAGTTAATCGATTTCTTAGGGCCCAAGTTAGGTTTAGGGTGGTGGATTTCGTGCCTATATAAGGCCCTCAACCTCATATGAGTCCGATGGAGCTTTAATAAGAAAAATCCCAGCATAAAGGCTTTGAAGGGTGCAGCCCGTGCTGCAGCCCTGTCTGCACGGCAGGTGTGGCAACAGAACAGGTTTCTTCTACCAGGCCATAAAGAAGATCGGCGTTTCGGGAGAAGTGCTTAAAAGATCTCGGGAGAGGTCGATCTGCCGTTTGAAGGAAGTTCAACATTGGAGGAAGTCCAAGAGTGCGGAGGAGGAATTGCTTTGATTATCAACAAGTTCGAGTCGTGTGCAAGAACGGCTTATCACATAAAGAGGGAGTCTTTAGTGTTTTATTAATTCCTATTAATGTACACTTAAATCTGAACTAGTTTTGCAAGTCCTCGTGGATGTAGGGTACATTTGTATCTGAACCACATTAAATTGGTGTGTTCTTTATTCTGCTTTTCGTAGATTTATTACTGTGACAACACAACAATTCTGTTACGTCACCTAATGTCGTAACATGTAGTCTGTCTCAACAGATGATTAGATATCCATAGGCATTTAAAATCAACAATTGGTATCAGAGCGGGTCACTAGATATACTTAGTGTCCGATTTTGGGTTTTGATTTGTTTGCTTTGCTTATTGGATGACGTGTGTTCACAAGGAAGGTTGAGACGGAAGTCTGTCACGGCATTCACCCAATTCCGCTGCGTTGTAATGTGCCCCGTGATGGGACACTCTGATAGAAGACCAAGACGGGTGAAGAAAAGTGGCATCTCTGTTGCAGGGGGAGTAAATCTCATCTGCAGGGGGGGTTCTTGTTAAACATGGATTCTAACCAATCTATGCCAAAGGGGGAGATTGTTGGCACGAGATTTCTATTTGTGAAGATTGAAGAAATCCGCCATACGTGGAAATTAAAGATTGGCAAAGATTTGTTTTCCATGTTTATTTTGGAATTAATTAGAGTCCTATTTTTGTAATATTGTTATTAGGACTTAGATTTATTTCCATGTATTATATTCTAGTTAGGTATCTTTTGTACTTATCTAGAATAGAAGTAGAAATCGACTAGGATTCTATTACCTAGTTAATCGATTAATTAGGGCCCAAGTTAGGTTTAGGGTGGTGGATTTCGTGCCTATATAAGGCCCTCAACCTCATATGAGTCCGATGGAGCTTTAATAAGAAAAATCCCAGCATAAAGGCTTTGAAGGGTGCAGCCTGTGCTGCAGCCCTGTCTGCACGGCAGGTGTGGCAACAGAACAGGTTTCTTCTACCAGGCCATAAAGAAGATCGGCGTTTCGGGAGAAGTGCTTAAAAGATCTCGGGAGAGGTCGATCCGCCGTTTGAAGGAGGTTCAACATTGGAGGAAGTCCAAGAGTGCGGAGGAGGAATTGCTTTGATTATCAACAAGTTCGAGTCGTGTGCAAGAACGGCGTATCACATAAAGAGGGAGTCGTGTTTTATTAAGTCCTATTAATGTACACTTAAATCTGAACTAGTTTTGCAAGTCCTCGTGGATGTAGGGTACATTTGTATCTGAACCACATTAAATTGTTGTGTTCTTTATTCTGCTTTTCGTAGATTTATTACTGTGACAACACAACAATTCTGTTACGTCACCTAATGTTGTAATATGTAGTCTGTCTCAACAGATGAGTAAATATCCATAGGCATTTAAAATCAACACTTTTCATTAGAAATTGAAATTTCTATGCAATCTTAAACAAGCACCGGCATCGTTGCCGCAGTAGCCACCATAATCGCCACAGACATTTATTCATCCAAAGGTAAATCCCTCTTTCATAACCTCAACGTGATTTTGAAATTTGGTATATATATATTTTTTGAGACTACTATTACTACCCTGTGTATTTTTATCTGATTTTCAGTGTTGATGTTGGTGTTTTTATTTTATTTCCACTAATGATATTGTCACGACACGTGCAACGCACGTGCACATGCCTAGTCTATTAAAAGGGGGTGTTTAAATCAAGTTTATTTTTCTTCCGCTGTCTAGTATTTTCTAAACCCTGATGATGTTTTAGTTGTGGGTTATATTTAAAGTAAAGGAAAATAATTTGATAAATTCTAAACTTTTTATGTCAAAGTTCAAATTGAATCCGAATTTTTAGTAAAGTTAATTTTTTTTTAAATCGTATACTTAAATATTTCTTATTTACGTAAAATTCATGAAGGGTGTTACACAGTGAGTGATTCCTTCTTCCTCTAAATCTGGTCAATACATTCTCTGGATTTCTGAAGGGTTGCTCTGAGGTGTTACCAGGCCTAACATGCTCCTTCCCTCTGTCGTTATTCATGGGTCTAACCAGATCTTCGACTGCTGTGTTCATGTCATCCATCTCCTGGTTGCTGGTTTCCATCTCAGATCTTAATACAGTGAGATGTCCTTGGATCTTGTCATTGAACGCTAGTTGTTCTTCAATGAAAGTATCCACCTCAATCGGGTTCGTTTCTCCTGCCTCTGTCATGTTCGGTGCTCGAGTAACCATGTTCAAAGTGTTGGGAATCAATTACGTGTACGCGGCGAAAAACCAAACAAAAAAATTATTTGAAAAACAATTAATCAAATAAACACACCTGCACAATTAAAGTAATTAACTGTATACCTGATTTCTTGCAATCACTATATACATACTAGCGATTAATTTAAATTGCATAAAATTAAATCAATTAGCATGCCCGGTAATTTAAATCTTATAATAAGCTTGTTCAACATACGGTTTCACATAAGCACGCAATAATACATGCAATATATGTGATTCGAAATTAATTAATATATACTAATCATAATTAATATCAATTAATTAAAACTAATAAAGGATAATCATATAATTACCCTTGAAGCGTGAGATGTATGTATATGGCTAGCATCTCAACAACCCCTTTGGATCTGTTCCGGAACAACGGGGGCGCGGCGGCGGCGTGTGATATTCACACGCTGACGGTGGCGGCACGTGGGAGCGCGTGCGGCAACGGCGGCTG